AAAAAAAAAAAAAAAAAAAGAGTAATACAGTAGCCTCTTTGGTTGTCCCTTCGTGTCTACTTTTGCCCCTGTACAAAAAGCCTCCAAACTGTAACCAATCTCCTTCTAAAAGTGAAAAATCAGATGATGTCACTCCCTTGGTCTAAGCCCTTCAGTGACTCCTGTCACTTTCAGAATGAAAACAAACACTTCACTGTGGCCTACAAGGTCCCCCATAATGTAAACTCCGAGCTCATTTTTTCCTTCATCCCCTAGCCTCTCTCAAGGTCTTTGCATTTGCTGACCTGTTACTTTCCCTCACACCTTTGTCTGCTGGGTCCTTTCCATTTTCAAAGAAGATTTATTTGCCATTCTCTCCAGTGATGCTCTCCACTTGTCATGTATCACAGACCGGAAATACCTTGTTTCTACTCCGATAGTTATGGTCCAGTAACTTGTCTCCCTCCTATGGTAAGCTCCTTAAGGGCAAGAACATGTCTGCTTTGTGTTCTGGACCCCCAGTGTGCAGGACAGTACATCCACAGAGCTCAGAAAGTGTTGTGATGATTGCTGTTAGCGAAATGTCCGGTGACACCACTGATTCCCCTACAAACACTGAGCACAAGTCACCCAGCCAAATACAGAGACCTATGAGCCACCGTCTTCGCCATCTTGATAGCTCATGGGTTAATTGTCTTTATGTTCTTCTGGTTTGGCTTTCCTTTCTAAGGTCAGCCCCATGACATCATGCACAGTGCTGTGTAGAAAGTAGTAGCCTAGCTAACATTAATGGTTTTGACTGTTACGGGGCAGAGTGGTTAAAGGTTATAATGTTGACAGAAGGTCAGAGAGTTCATTCTAAGACTTCTGCTTATATGCCTAGATTTTAAATTTATGCTACCCCAAGCTCAGGTGTATCTGCCCTTCTAGTGGAGGAGAGGAGTAAAAATCAGAGGAAGCAGAAAGTCTGGCTCAAGGTCTGCACAGTCATCGCGGAGTCAGATAATAGGACCTCAGGAGGCAAAATGACCGAGGTACCTTTTAAAAGTAAAGCACATGAACCCAAAGATAGAAGTCTTGATTACATGAAACATTACAAGCTCTTAAATATAGCAGTAGCATGAAGCCTGTGATTTGATGGTGGACTCTGTGTCTGAAGGCCCAGGAGTTTGTAGCTTCGGAGTCCCATGTGCTCAACAGTCTGGGCTCAAGAACTGACCCTTACGATGTCATCACGTATTCTACCCCTTGGACTCCACCTGGTGCCCCTGGAGTCATTGAAGCAAGATGGACAGACATGTAGAGAAGCAAAGGTACATTGGCATGAACCGTGGAGCCGACAGGTTGGGGTCAGATTTCTGCTCCCTGAACTGGGAACCATAGGCACGAGACTGCCTGAGACTCAGTGCTTATCTAAAAAGTGGCAAAAAAGTGCCCATCCCACGAGGAAGGAGTCTAGGTATAACCTGTGCCCACTCCAGTGCCTGGCACATGGAAGCACTCTAAAGCCATCTGCTTGTGCCGGCGCTCTCTCAGGCACAGCCTTCCAGAGGGAGTGTGCTGGGAGAGGACTCACCATTTCAGGTCAAGCTCTAGGGTCATAAGTTTTGAAACATACAAAATTCACCCAAGGTTAGTCGGACTCCAAATAAGTGATTTATACCCTCTAGTACCTATAGTTTAAGTCAGAATGGTTACTATATAACAATTTCCAAAGGAGCATGACTTTAGTCCCCTCTCACGACTGCTCCCCAGGAAGCAGACCCTCTGACAGGAAATTTGGGGAGGGAAATTATTCTTTTTTTTTTTCTTTTGTACCTGGGATTGAACTCGGGACCTTGCACTTGTGAGGCAGGCGCAGTGCCACTGCACTAAATCCCAGGCCCAGTTATTCTTATTTTTTATATAATTTAATTAAGGGACTTTAATTAAGGCCATGACCATTAAAAGATTAAACTTACATAATTGGACACTGTGTTAGCTCTCCATCATTGCAACAAATACTCGTGACGACCAAGTTATAAAAAGAAAAGTTTTGTTTTGGCTCACAGGGGTTTTGGAGGTTTCAGACTCGGATCGTTTGGCCCCAGGCAGTGCATTACGGCACATGGCAGAGCAAAACTGCTTCCTGGATAGAAGTGAGAAAGAACAGAGGCCAGGGTCTGACTCTCTCCTTCAAAGGGATGCTCCCAGTGACCCAACACCTCCCCACTTTCTCCCGGTAGTGTCAAGTTGGGACCAGGCCTTTAACACGTGGGCCTGTGGGAGACATTCCAGATCTGAACGATAGAAGACTGAGCGGGAAAGACTGGAGTTGCCAGGCAGTCCACCAAGGGAGATGTTCTATCCACAGGCCCCAAGTGCCTCCTTGTTTTTGAGTTATGCCAACGAGAGACAAATAATCAGGCCATTTAACTACCAGGAGTCACTGCTTGAGGCTTACTTGGGGGGTGCTGCGTATAATTTGGCCACCAGAGAAAGCTTTAGACAGTTGGAAGTTGGACCTTGAACTGCATAGTTAGTGAATCCCAGAGGAATCAGAATATCTGCCAAAGAGAAGACATCCTTTATGGTTTAGTAGATGCGCCTTATTAGTTAACTCTGTAAACCAGGCTATGCATGACATACTAGCTTGTAGTGACCTATGCTGTGGGTTTTCGTACTGGACTTCTTTCTTGTGGGGCCTCAGAGCTGCTGCATGTATGCTTGTGGGGGCGGGAGGCAAATTGAAGGTGTGGAGTGGCTTAGGGTCCAAAGGGTGTTGAATCCACTTACTCTGCTTTGAATACTGCAGCTCCATTAAAAAATTGAGCTTCTGTTGTCACGAGAAGAAAGAATGGTGCTTCACCAAAACCAAAAAGCGTATGAGAACCATTGGTAAACTGTCACATCGATCTACAGGAGCAGTAGGGCTGCCAAGTGGCATATCTCTCTGAAGGACCGTCAGCAAGAGTGTGGCCTACTCCAGACACAGGGGCTGACTCTTCATTTGAAAACTTCATGTGTCTTAGAAAAGAAAAATAACATAGTTCCAAGCATAATTGAAAATGGTGCCTCTGTTCATAATAACTTGTCCATTTTTCTTAAGCCACAGGGAGTAGCTTTGCTCTCACTGAACTGGCATAGGAAATCAGTGAAGGGCTGCTGTGATTTATGGCCTGTTGAATGACCTGGCCCCATAGAGGAGACAGTCAGTATTTGTGTTCTGCGTGTGTCCTGTAGGCAGAGGAGCCAGCCGAGTCCTGGTAAACCTGGGTTCTGATCCCCTCTTTGTCACTGAATCATTTGATGATTCAGGGTCATTTCTTTAAGCACTCATTCTCCTCACTGGAGTTATACCTGGCTTATCTACTTAATGGAGAAGTCACAGAGCTCAATGGGGAAATACACTAATAGCACAGGTGGGAATATAATAATGAAAATTATAAAAAATAATGAAAATTATTTCTGACATTATACCTTTATTCAAAGAATGTCAGGATTTTGTAAATTTTAGAGTGGCTCTACCTGATTTTTAGATGTTTTTATTCCCCAATTTTTTCCTGTGTGTTTTACTTTCCTTTCTCATAGAACTGTTGAGGGTAGTTACTTAAGCAGATAGGGATCTCCCTTTACAAGATGGTTTTTAAAAGGTAGGTAGGTCAAGGATGAGAGAAAGACAAAGGCTGTGAGATCCCGTGATCATACCCAATACAGTGCACCCCTATTCCCTGCCCAGGTTCACCGCACAGTTGTAACCAGCTGCTCTCTAAGAGAGAAAAAGATGCTGTAGTATTGAAAGAGCCAGGAATCTGGTTGAATACCAGACCCTATCGTACCCTGGATCCAGAAAGCTCAGGCCCATGCAAAGGAATAATCCACCCTTTAGAGTTCTTTATACCGAGTATTCACTGTGTGGCACTCTGTGCCCATGCTGCTCTGTCACAAAGTTCTGGTATATTTATTCATCCTTCTTCACCAACCTCTGGCTCTGCGAATAGAGTCACCTCTGCCACAGCCCATCTAACTTCCTGTTGCTCCCATCCTATGGGAGTAGAGATGTGGGAGAGAAAGTGGTACAAGAATAAGAGCACGGTTGAATGTCTATAATTTTGTTCAGATGACTGCAGAACCTGGAAAAGCTGCTGCTGCTATCGATGCATAACATACATACTGCTATTATTAGTCTTTTTATATAAATATAAATATACATATATACATATATATATATAAATTGAATTTTGGGAAATGTTAACGGTGCTGTCAACTTTGGAAAAAGTTAGCCCAATTTACTGTGTTGAGTTGGCATTGTACAGAAATGGACAGCCATATTGGTCTAGAAATGTTAATTGTTTTTCCATTTGTACAGGGGTAACGCACTGTACTAAATATGTAAGGTTATATCTACGTAGGTTTGATTACAGAAACTAATAAAGTATCCTCTAAATAATGAAAAAAAGAATAAGATAAGACTACAAGAGCAAGAAGCAATTTAAATATGTTAAGGGACCATTTTTATCTTCAGAATTAAGGATTATTTTAATCTTACATCATTGCCTTTTCTCTTTTACTTTCCTTTGTAGTTTTATTTTAGGATTTCCTATTTTTAATGTTCATACAGAGATTTAACTGAAGTACCGAATAGTTTCTCTGGTGTGAAAAACTATAATAGTACACAGGATCCTAATGAGACAATTAATAATGTGAAATAGGAAGTAAAGGGCTAAAGGTGTAGGGCAAGTGGGAAGGATGGGGGAAAGATAATAAGGGAGAGGAAAAAAATATGAGAAACTGAAAAAATGGAAATAAAGTGTTGGTAAATGGGGAGGGGAGGAGGGGGTGAAGGGAGGGCAAGGACAAGGGGAAAAAATGAGAATCAAGACCTATTATGTAAAGGTATAGGATCCCAATGATGAATGTAACTGTATTGTATATCTAGATTGTACCAATAAACTCAATAAAAAGGAAAGAAAAAAAAAAAAGAATAAGAGCACAGGTCCCCGAGTTTATCCCTCTTCCTCCCGGTACCCTAGCCCTCCCCACTTCCACAGCAAGGGGAGCTCTGGGCAGGGGCTCATCTTCCACCTCACTTACCTCAAGGGGAAGTTGCTGACAGCACCGCTGGCCGGTCATTCTCAGCAGTGGGAGTTAGAACCCAAAGGTAGAACTCCAGGGAAGAACAGAGGCAAATCACTGGGCAGGGCTAAGCCGGTAAAGAGGTTAAGTTAGTGCTTTGCTGGGAGGAGTCTCCTTTAGCACCAATCAGCCTCGCAAGTCACAAAAGCTTTCAGAGACCTAGAGGACCTCCTGTTATTAACTCTGTAGGTCACTCCTGCCATCATGGGTCACCCTCCCCAAACCTTCCCACCTGCTCTGTATCACCTGTTAAGGGAAAAAGTGAGGAGGTGCCTGGACTCTCATGTCAGCGTCTAAATCCCACATCTCCCATTTCCTGCTGTGTGACAGGGATGCGACTTCACATTTCTGTGCCCAGTTTCTGCTGGAGATGATAATCGCTTTGATTTGTTGGGTATTGCAGGGATTCAGTCAGTGAAAAACATGGAATGCCTTAGAATAAACCTGGTGCACAAGGCGACCTGTTAACGATGGCCAGTGATGCACACAACATCCTTCTCAGAAAAGAGGGTGAAATGACCCTCAGGCTGCACAGCTGCTAGTGGGGGAGCTGGGAGCCCAGGCCCCTCTGTGACCATGTCTCCCTGCTCCCTGACGTGCAAGTGCTTCTCTGCCCTCTTCTCACATCCTGCCTTCTCTTTCTTCTGTCTCCCAGCCTGGCCACACACAACTCCAAGGCTTCAGCATTGATGTGGGCAGGGAGAACAAGCCAGGGTTCCTCGCTCCCTGCCGGGTTCCTTCTAGGCTTGAGGGTGGAGGAAAGCAGGTATCGAGGGGGCAAGGAGCAGTCTGCTCACTTGAAGCTTATCCCTGTTCCTCTGATTCCAGACTTGGAGATCACAGTCCCCATCCGGCACTCACAGCACCTGCCTGGGAAAGTGGAGTTTGGAGTCTATGAGAGCGGCCCTAGGAAAAGTGTCTTCCCCTCAAGAACAGAGCTAAGGCGTGGCAACTGGAAAACAGACAGTACCTCCAGTACAGCAAGTAAGAGGGGCAGTGCCTTCACCACTGTACTCTAGCTGGTGGCTTAGGGCATTTGAAAAAATTCTGTCATGTGCTCAAAGATCAACAGGGACCTGATTTGGTTTGAAAAGTGTAAAATATGGGAAATAATTAGCCTATAAAGTTTGCTTTTATCATGTGAAGTCAGGTTGCATAATTATTACTGTATCCTTTTTATACATAGTGAAATCTAATAAAAATAATTAACTTTTATTGAGCATTGATATTCTCCAAGGAGGAAAGTTAGACGCTTAGTGTCTTGACCGAGTTAAGTAGCGAATATGATCAAGCTGGATTTAAAGTCAGTCTGTTTCCAGAGCCAACACTCTTATACCCTATTTCTTGCTACTTCCCCATCTAGGTGAAGGGGAAGGTGAGAGCACAGACTCCGAACATTAGAAAACAAAGGACTTAGATTTGAGAATTACACCTTGTAGACATTAGGATGTGCTTCCTTTGGGCTTGAATGCGAGTCTGATTGCACAGACAGGGTACACTCATGTACAGGTGGGGCCTGGGGCTTTGTTTCTACATCCAGGGCCTGTGAGCGGACTTCAGCTGCAGTGGCTTCATGTGCCTCATAGTTTCTCCCTTCCATACATTTTGGTGTTATCAAAGCTGCTGGAAGAGTAATGAAAAAACCAGAAAGAAGCTGAATTTCAAGATTAGTGTCTCCTTAAATGTGAAGCAGAAAATACAAAAATGAAATGTTGGAGCATCCAACAGCTTATCCAGCCTGGGATCCTTAATCCCCTTGAGAATCTGATACATGTTCTGCATGTGTTTCTCAGAAAAATGCTTGGCTGTGTACACATATATGCATGTCTGGGCTCGCATGCGCGCACACACACACACACACACACACACACACACACACACACACACCAGTTCCAGTTCTGCCCACTCGTGCTCTTAGGTCAAGAATCTCTGCACAAGTTTCCCTCCTTATTCTGGATTATTTGTAACCTAGATTGGGAAAGATCTTTCTCCAAGGTCACGTAGCCTCAGAGCACAAAGTTGGGAATAGAACCCAGCTCTTTTCTTCAAGTTAATACTCCTGTCACCATTACCTGTGGAAGCAGACCCACAGCCTATCACATGATCATGTTGGAAGTCTAGACTGGACAAGGAGAAAAAGCTCCCCATATGTAATGGTGGTGATGGTGTATATCTAGAGACCCCTGAGGCAATTTGGAAATTCAAATTCTGACATTCAGAAAAGTAGGGGGTGGATAAAGAAAAGGTAAGAGAGTTTCCTAGGGACTACAGGTGGCAAAGAAATCCAGGGACAGGTAGTGTTTCTGCCAGACATGTTGGGGAGGAGAGAAGGGCTAGAAACACACACACACACACACACACACACACACACACACACACACAGAGGTGCTTTTAGAAATTAAAGTTTACTCTTTGCTGGCTCCATGCCTAGCATATTACCATGTGATCTAATTCATTCTGTACAACAAGGGCCCAGTTTCCAGATAAGGAAATGGAGAGTTGGAGAATTTAGGCAACTTGCCCTGGTCTCTTGCAAAAAAGCAGAGGGCCTGAGATTCATATACAGAGCTTTCTGTTCTCTTCCCAGAGAAGCACTGCCTTCCAAATAGAAGGACGAGGGGTGGGGGAGACTAAGGGTGGCTTGACTGTGATCCACAAACTGCCCCTTTACCCCAGAGGCACATTCTGAAAACAGAACTATTTTTATTATGCTGCAGCTGTCATTACTTGGAAACCACAGAAAAATAATTTCAGGTTACATTTGGTTATAACCAAAAAACTTAAGATATTAGAATTATGTTTAAGAGAGTGAAAGTTCCATTGTAGAAGGACTGTTGGTCCAAGTTTCTTGAGGGTCATATTATATAGAACACGATTATTTTGCCCCCATTTTTGCACAGAGAACAGCTCATGCAAACTGAGCTAAGACTGTATACTGGACACAACAATGAAAAGGAACCAGTGCTTGTCTTTAAGAGCTTATAATAGAGAAAAGAAAGCATAGAAATAGTATGAGTTAGATGCTCATCTGATCCTTCTTCCCCAGCAACAGAGCCTGGCAAGGGCTGGTAATGCCCTCCCTTTCCCTGGAAAGAGTACAGGTCATAGAGCTGGGGCCAACTATGCAGCCCAGGAGGAGGTGACCAGAAGTCATCAGCCTGGGGAGGGGCGAGGCCGGAGCAAATGAGCCAGGGGAGCCAAGGTTTGGAGCCAAACACTGGGGTTAAAGATTTCATAATGGCAAGGAAAGGGACAATGGGAGCTGATGGGTATGAATTTCCAGAGTTGCAGAGCCAGTGCTTGTGACCAGCTGTTACTTTCTGATAGCAGATAACCTTCAGAACAGTGTGGCTTATTGTGACCAAATGGGAGGGACCTTGATGAATGAGTGGGGAGGCTCAGCCACAGAGGGTTAGGAGCCCATGTGCCCAGGGCTTACTTCTAGTTAAGGAAACCTGGGCAGATTTGGAGGGCATTTTTCCTGACTAGATTTTAGCCTGTGAACAGCAGTGGGCCAGGGCAAATGGAGAGAAAAAGACAGCCTGGTCAGGTGAACAGTATTATGTGTGCCTGATTGAGTAGAAAGGGACAGGGTCACATGCTCCTAATAAACAAACAATGAATTCCCTGGTTTATGAAAATATTTTGACATATTGTTTTAGATATAAAAATCTGCCCTCAAGAAATACTCTTAAGTGCTTTATTCATGCTAACATCTAAATTCGTTCTGTCAAAGTTGATTCCATGATAAAGTCAAAACTAACATTATTTCAAACTAATAAGATTAGGAGCTATTTTAAGTGGAAATTCAGCAAACCCTAAGATTTGGTAATCTGTTAGTAGCAATATCGGTAAATCAAAGTTAAAATTTCCTTGTTATAGTTGATTAACTCTCATTCTTCCTTCTCTAATGCTAGATCACCATGGGTTAGGGCTACTTTTAATGCTGTACTGAACAACAATAGCCATCAGCCATATGTGGCTATTTACATTTAAACTAATTAAAATGACACAAAAGTTAAATCTCATGTCCTTGATCGCTCTAGTCATGTTTCACACTAGTTACTATATTGAATAGCACAAAAATGGAACATTGCCAGCACAGTTTCTACTGGACAGTGATAATCCAATGATATAGGTGATAAGTTCCCAACGCAGGAGCTCCTACCACGAATATAAATTGTACCTTTGAATTTGTGTTTTGCATGTTTTTCTGTGTGTCATGTTGTGCTGGGGATGGAACTCGGGACTGTGCTAAGCAAGCACTGTACCTTTGGATCACACCGTAACCCTGCATTTTGTTTTGTGTAACAGTGTCTCACCCCTTATTGAAAGGTATGTCTACATGTATGTTACATGTTTACATTCCCTGTAATTCTGAGTAAGTAAGAAACTGCAGTAGCAAAATGGGTTTACAGATATAGAGTTCTACTGAACTGAGGATCAGAGCATCTCTGCTTCCCTGTCAAATCAAAGCACTAATATCAAATAGTAATTTCAAAGGAAAAAATGGCAGTCATGTTTTTGAAGCTCTTAATGTGTGGTAAGCCCTCAGTAAATGGTAGCTGTTAAGCTGAAAGTGGTAATGAAAAAGTGAACTATTTCATGTAATGCTGACAGAGAACCTGAACTCTAATAAAATAGTATAAGATAGCTGCAATTGAAGAATCCTATCTTCATAGCTTGGATCTTGTTTCTGTCAGTCACATAAGTGCTGGAGTTCTACATTGTTTTCTTCTGAGTGAATCACAGCCCAGCTCACTTTATTTCTACTCTTTAGGCAGCACGAGTAACCGCTCAAGCACACGGAGCCTCCTCAGTGTGAGCAGCGGGATGGAGGGCGACAATGAGGTGAGAGGTGGGGTCACCACCCCATCTGTCTTGTCCTACGAGTCATTTCATTGCAAGAGAGAAATTCAATGAAAAAACCCACAAAGAAAAAGTCACATATATTGTAGGATTCCATTTATATGAAATATTTAGAATGGAGAAATCCAGAGAGACAGAATATAGATTGATGTTTGGCAGGGGCTGGAAGAGGAGGGAATGGGACGAAATTAACTGCTTAATAGATACAGTGTTTCCTTTTGGGTTGATTAAAATGTTTTGAGACTAGATAGAGGTCGTGGTTATACAACACTGTAAATGCACCGTTGCCCCGAATTGTTTACTTTAAAATGGTTGATTCTGTGGTATGTGAATTTTGCTTCAATAAGAAGGAAGGGAAGGAGAGAAGAAAGAAAGAGAGTGAAATCTGCTCAGCTAGTTGTATCTGTGAGAAGAATCTGGTGCCTCAGGGACTCCAGGGGCAGGGATCATGCCAGGGGCTAGATTAGGGGCCACAAAGGATGCCAGGGGAAGCCAAGGACATTGTTTCATATGTCCCAGGGCCAGTGCTGTTGTGTCTGTGATTCTCAGTGCATATACACTTTCTTCCTGCTCTGCACACTGGCCTTTTCTGTGTAGTGGCACAATCTCTAGAAAGCCACAAGGCCTTGAGGTGAGAGGAAGCTGCTACTTTGGGCTGAGGCCCCACTCCAAGTTGGTTGACTTGGGGTCAGATCCAGGGACCAGGGGCTGGGAAAAGGAGGAAGGCGAACCTGAGTCACCCTTCACCATGAAGGCTCCTGAGAAGAGATCCCAAGGAGGCATTTGTGACAAGCAGGTGTTGACAGGCCATTGACTACGCTTTGAGTAGCATGGATTTAGAGTTCAGGAGATTCGTGAGAGCATGGGCTATCCTGTCCTCACCAACAACAGGAGGACGTGGAAAGCTGCCAGTGTGTACTGGGTTGATAGTTTGTGAACATCCTAAAGAAGGCTGAGAGGCTTTTGCGATATGGGTGTTTAGCTGTGCTGGTTGCTTCAACTAATTTTCACCTTTTTTTCTCATTTTTGTTTGTTGTAGGACAATGAAGTCTCAGAAGTTACCAGAAGTCATAGTCCAGGCCCCCAACAAGTGGATGGAACTCATACCATGTCCCTTGAGAGACCCCCCAGGGTGCCTCCTCGAGCTGCCTCACAGAGGTAACATTGAAGCTGTTAGGAAATTTTTTTCCTCATACTCTGAATTCCAGAAAGACTAGGATTTGGGAACATCTGGGATAAATCAAGAATGAGACACAGTGAACTGAAATTTCTACTTTTGACACATTTCAATGTGCACTTTTCATTAATGTAGGTGATACTTTACTCAGTTAAATAGCAAATGCACTGTTTCATAAATGAAATGTGTAGGTACATGTCAACTTTTAAAATAATATTGTTACTGCATGGGTTCGCTCTTTTATTTTTTTATTACTACACATGCATAATATATAATGTTTACATTCCTTGTTAGACGTTGGTACATGTACCTAACACGTCTTAATTCCCTTTCCCTCCACCCATCTCTTGATCCCTTTCTTATTTTCTTGGTACAGGTTTGCAGTACATAATTTTATATTCCTTGTGTGGCATCAGTACATGTACATAACGCATCCCAATTTCTTGTTTTCATCCCTCATCCCTTCCCTCCTACCTCCTTCCCTCCATCTCTAATTTTATGTTTGAATAGAAATAAAGTTCCCTAGTATTGAATTCCCCATGGCTACGCTGTAGAGACCGTGCCTTTTGAGGAACAGGTGCTTAGAAGGACTTGGAAGTGGAAATGCAGGTGAAACAGGCTGGGCTGCTGGTGGTGAGGCTGGCTCCAGGGCCACCTTCTTGGTCCATGTCCAGAAGCTGGTGTGAATGAAGTAATCAACTTTTAGATGCCTCAGTATTGTGTACAAAATGGGGTTACTAATAGAACTTGCTCATGGAGTTATAAGAATTGAGCTCTTGGCCCATGGTAAGACCTCAACAACATGAGAGAGTTTCATATATATATATGAAAGAAGTAAACAGAAGATTTGGAGATGAGCATTAGACTAAAGAGAGTGACTAATTTCCTGGCCTCTGATGCATGTCTTTATTCATATAGGATTTGGCAGGAGCCTTTTTTATGGTCTTGTGGGATAACACAAAGTGTCAAAGCTAGCCAGTGTGTCTGCAGAAAAGACTAACTAGGCTTTTCTCAGGGGTTTGATTTTTTGACAATTAAAATATGCTGAAGAAGGGAGCCTAACCTAAGGGTTTTTAAAAACCAGGACTTTTTTTTACATTCTAAAATTATAAGTTCAGGCTCATCAGTGAAATTTGTTGACAGAATGCTACAAGGAGGCTTTTCTGGTTTTCTGGAAAAGAGAGGCTGACTCCGTACTTTCCTATTTCTCCTTTTGCAATTTAGCACTTTTCTCTATGCTCCCAGCAACATCTGTGTACTGATACTTGCTACATAAACACCCCACCACCCCAAGCTGTACCATGTTCACCAGTTATGTTTACCTGGTACAGCCTGGAAGGCACATAGTAGAGTGTTTTTCTCAGAAGTAGCAATAGTCCAGTCCTGAATTTGCATGATAGTCTTTTGCTTGAGAATCACTATAGTAGGTGATTGGGGAGGGGCCTTACCAAGAGCACTTATGGTAATGAACACTACGATTTAATGAGGGAGGTGGGAGGTATCATGTCATACACACTAATTACATTGTCTTGCTTAATTCTCTCTGTAACCCTAGGAGATGGGTATTTAGTATGGTCACATTTTACAGAAGTGGAAACTAGGGCTCCGTGTTGGGTGAAGACTTGCTGTCTGAGACAGTCTTTTGGTCTTTGTGTTACATCTGCTCAAGAAAGTCTATATGTCAGGGGAGATCCAAGATTCAAAAGCTTTTGTTCCTGAAGGTTGAGGATTTTGGAGGTAGTTGTCTAATTGTACTAAGATAAAGAAATCTCAAGGTTGAAACTGTAGCTATAGATGCCTTAGGATTTTGTTATTGGAAGAGAAAAAAATTATTAAGGGAATGAGTTCCAGAAATTAAAAGACAAATTACAGTAATTTAAATATGTAAAAAAAGGACGATGGAGTAATTGTTTGGAGAGTCTGTAAATATACTGGGATAAAGATGGGGAGAGAAAAAGAAGAAAATAATTGTTTTTTTGTTTTTTTTTTTTGTTACAAGGGATCAAACTCAGGACCTTGTATTTGCCAGGCAGACAAGGTATCACTGAGTTAAATCCCCAACCCAAGAAAATAATTTTTACTAAAGAAAAAAAAATATATACATATATATATTTTATGTATAAAATTTTTAAAAGGGGGTTTTGGGTTAGAGTTATTGGTGGAACGCTTGCCCAGCATGAATGAGGCTCTGGGTTTGACCCCACCACCCCAAGTACCACAAAGAGGATGAGGTAGCAGGACAGGAGGAAGAGGCAGCTGGTTGTGTGGTGGTTTGGGGGTAGGTGGATAGAAGGAACAGTGTTTGCAAAGAAACTTATAATTGATGTAATTTGAGGTTTATATTCATTTCTTGTGTGTTGTATGCACCCAATTCCCATAATAAAATGAGGTAATCCTTGATCAGGGAATTAAGCAAGCCCCCCACCAAATGGCTCGGGTGGCTGATGGGGTGTCAGGAGGGAGCTGTGGTGTCTTGGTCTCACTCTCAGACCTGGGAATTGGCAGCCATGTTCTCCCGACCTTTCCCTCTCAAGCAGTACTGCTGAATGCAGCCTTCATCCCCTTGTCACACTAGTCAGTTCTGGTCCATTCTTCTGCTCACTCTGCATGCTGTAAAGCAAAGCCTGAATTTCCAGATGGCTTTCAAACCTCCATCTCCATCTCCCTCTTCTACTTACTGCTGTTGCCTGAGGATGTCCCAGATGCCCCACAGGTATCTCACAAAAACCTGTGCAAAACCGAGCTCCTCAGCCTACCTACCATCCTCTGACTCAAGCTGCCTCCTGTCCAGGGATCTCCAGCTTGGGCTTGTAGCACCATTCTCCTCCTTCCTGAAGCTCCAAGTCCAAGAGCCTCTTTTATAGCTCTCATCCAAGGCTACTGTGTCTTCAGGCTCCACCCATTCTGCTGCCCTTTCAGCTCTTAGATCCACCTCCTCCTTCCCATCTGCTAGTGCCTAAGTCCATCCTTGGGGGCCCACACTTACCTCCCTGCCTCCAGTCAGTCCCTCCTTCACACTGAACCTGAGTGTACGTTCTAGAACACAAATAGCTGATGATGTCATTTCCTGGCATTAAAGCCTTCAAATTTAATTCTGTGTATCTTGTTGTAGCCTGGCCTGCTCAGCCTCAAGTCTTATCTCTCCATTATGCTCCACCCCTTCTTTAGGATTCACTCCCAACATCACCTTCCCTGAAGTCTCCATGCAGAGCCCCCCCACTCCATAAAATGTCTGTCGTACGATATTCCTCATTGCAGACCTTTTTTACCTATCTGTCTCTTCAAGTGGTAGCAAACTTTGTGAGACTAGAAACTATTTTTTACTTAAATGTTTTTCTTTTCTCCCGGTGTCTGACACATAATAGGGACTCAATAAATATTTATTATGTAAATGAAGGAATGGATGAATTCAGGGTTGGACTTTATAAGACCTTAAGCAATTGGCCATCACGTCACCTACCACAGTGCAGGCGGGTTATAGTGGAAGAGACTTCACACTCCCTCTGCTGGAGTTCCCAGTATAATCAGGGGAAGAAACAAAGAAGGGAAGATGGCGGTGAGAACAGAAACAGACACACTGTACCTTGGCTTGGAATTTCCCTTAGTCCTTGTAGGGTGGGCAGTTGACAGTGCCATGCCCTACAGAGGTAGTATTGTCCTGCCCCATTAAAGGAAAAAAAGCCAAATTTTTACTAAACTGTTGTCTAATTCAAATTTATTTTGCTGTTCACTGGTGATTTTCCATCACTACCAATCTGCGTACTCCTGCTTCCAGCGAAGCCCGTGTGCTCTTACCAAAGACCTGCTACTGGCGGTCTCCTTTCTTTAGCTGTGGAGTCCCTCGGAGGAACTGGAATGTCAGGAAGTGAGTGCACTTGGGACAGAGCTATTTTAATTAACAGAGAAGTTTAAAAATTACATTAAACAATGTGTATGACTATACAAAGGCACGCCAGCTGAAGCCCGACTATTTTAAAAGGAAGTTAATCAACATCAGGATTGCTTGAGGCTTGAACAAAACTCACTGTCAGTGATACCTCACCTCCAACAGGAAGAGAAAGCAGTCAGGTATCATGGGACAGTCATCTCCAGCTTCAGCTTCCCAGGGTCCTGGAGAAGTCTCTTCACAGACCACCCTGCTTTGGATTTAGTACTCTTTCACCTCCCTGGTGCCGATACATCTAAAATCACAAATCCATTTGGCTGAGATGAAGCTTCAGTCTCTTGCTGGAGTTGTTCATCAGAATGAAACAGAGCTGTCATTCTAGCAGGTACACAGAGTGGGCAGCAGAATGAGAGAGGGATCATACAGGAAATCGTGAGTATCTTGGAGAGGAAGGTAAAGTAGGATCCCGTGGAAAAGATCTTAGAGTAGACCTGTAATCCTTACAATAAAATTATTAGCATTACCTCTTAGATGCCTACTCTAAGCCAGAAACTGTGCTACCTACTTTCCTTCTGTTGTCTCCAGGTCATACATATGCCAGTGTCGCTCTCATTGGCAGATGAAAAGAGTTTCAGAGCAGTTGAACTTGCACATACAGAAATGCATTCCTAAGTATCCCTACTAAATGTTCCTAATGGTTCTGAACTTCCTTTGTTAAAACACCCAGAACTGTTTCCTGCTATTTGCCTATTGTCTGTCTCATGTGCACATTTATAGTATCTTAAGAGTCAAGTCCTCACCAGTTTTACTTGCTGTTGTATAACACACACAGGCGTAGTTGCATAGTAGACAAATGTTTGTGGAGAAGAAAGACGGGAGAAGGGAGGGATTCCTGAACTTGCCCATGGAATAAGTGGTGTCACCTGACTGTCCTTCAGCATTCTCCTATAGAAGTTTATGGTGCAGTTTGAAGAGATAGAAGGAAATTGTTTTTGTTTGTTTGTTTCACTGCATAAAACTCAGTCACTCAGTTACAAACACAACGCCATCTACTTCCATGGATCTGTAGTTATTCTTTGCTACTTCTGCCTTCCTGAGATGGCTCCTCTTTTCCCAACTCTTGTCACTTCCTTGACCTACACAAAACTAGTATTCAGAAGACATTTAGTAAATATTGACTTACTGACTCATTCAATCTTTGACCATGCAACTTTAGGGTAGCACAGTTCAATTACAGTACCTCACAAAGTTATCTTTCTGGACTTATTGACTTGCTTCTAAGAGAATTAAATATTGGTTATACAGCACACATATGGAAATGCCATTTGCAGTCGTTGAACCCATTTGTAAATAAACTCATCCTACTCCACCTGGAGTATCACTCAGGACTAAAAAAATCATCCAGAATAACATGGAGAGGGGCTTCTAGGAAAGCAAATGGAAAACTGGGATAACATTTAGTGATCCCATGATAAAGTAATTGTTGAGAAGCAGACTAGAAATTGTCAGTTTCTCTCCCTACAGGCCTACCTCACACAGCAGGCCTCCTGCCTGGCTGCCTATTTGAATCACTTATGTTTCAACATATAGGTTTTATTACTACTTAGGTGTGGTAAGGTCAATAGATCAGGATACAGCTGCTTTTGAAATGCTAGTTTGTTAAAATGCACAATTTCCAGGAGGAGGGGACCACCACCGTGGGGGGAGATATCACTCAAAGCACCAGAGTTCCATTCCTCAGGAGACAAGAGGAGTGGAAGGGAAGACAAGGGCAAGGCTAGGTGAGTGGATTTAGGATTGACTAGTTTGGATAGTTTCAGTGGACTCTGGAGCATTGGAGATGTCTCTAGTTGTCAAGGGCAGGTTGGCTGTGGCCCCAAGGGGGTGATGGAAGCAACCCAGATTGGGTAGTTTGCATATCAAAGGCTTGTATGGTGCTTGTGGACAGACAGGCAACTTGGCTAGGAATTAGTGAGGCATTAGCTACTCTTGAGAGGTGTGGTCCTGTCAGGGCCAGCAAGGACTCAAGAAGGCAAAGAATCAAAAATCAAAAGGTATGATTATCAACTAAGTGGCTGGGAAAAGGACACTAAAAGTTTTGATGCTTAAGCCCTATACTCTAGTGATTAGGATAGAATGTGTCTGAGATGGAGCCTGGAAATTGGTATTTTAAAGGGCTCCACTGATTATTCTATTTTATTTACTTTTTTTGAGATGGAGTCTTCCAAGTTGTCCAGGGTCACCTCAAACTTGCAGTTTTCCTGTTTCTGCCTCCCAGTCCAAGTCACTGGGATTACAGGTGTGTACCACCGTGCTTGGCTCCTCCACTAGTAATGTTAATATACAGCCAAGATTGTGAGCTACAGGTGGCACGTATGTCACTCAGACATTCAGCATGTGTTGTTTCTTGAGGAATGTGCCCTTTTATAGTATACCAAGTTTGCCACAAATTTTGAGTCCCCAAAACTATTTATCAAAGTAGTTTCTAAATACAGCTGCTTTGTCTTTCATTTCAGGCCTCCAGCCAGAGAGACCTTCCATCCTCCTCCACCTGTTCCACCCAGAGGTCGCTGATTCCACCTCCTACACTCTGCCTACTTCAGAACATTCAGACTTGCAACTTTCAGCCTGTTAATGATGTCTTCATGTTGTGTTTTCTGGTGTGGTTGTTGATCTTAAGAGCCACTCTCATTGCTGATGTCGTTGCAGCTCTGATGGTTTGGGTTATCCTTGAAGAAGACATTATCAAGGCATGAAGTTGTGAACAATTATGGACTCTGTTCACCATTATCAAGAATATTGATTCATATTCTTGTTTACCAAAAAAAGTAACTTGATCAGAATATTTACCTCTCCTTTCCTATATCAGAAGCCTAATAAGATTGATTAGACATGTACTTACAAGTGATTATACTGCAATGTACTTATATTAGGACTTATGTATTTGCCAGCCTAATATCTAGAAATGGTTAAGATACAGGTCTCACAGTATTCCAGTAAAAAAAAATAAGTGGCCTAATTTTAAAATAATTCTTCTGCTTGCCCATATGTTCAGGAGGTTCACATACAGCAAATTGAAAAAGATCTTAAGAAGGGATGCATACTAACTTCTTTCGTATAGAAGGCAAATCTGAGGTCCCATAGAAATCTAGAACCATGGGCTGGGGATGTAGCCAGCGACACACAGCACCTGGTTGGCAAACTCAAGGTCCTGAGTTCAGTTCCCAACACACACACACACACACACACACACACACACACACACACCACAAACCCGTGAAATCTAGAACCAAGAGATTTCAGTTGTTTAGAGGAAGAGATTAGTGTACAGTCTAGATCTATTGATTTTGGGTCATCATACTTCCCATTTTCAGCAAGCTAATTCCTCTTTCCTTCAAGGTATGCCCAGATGTAGAAATTCATCAGTGACTATAAACCTTCTGGAAGTTTTCCCTTTTCACATCTTGCAGGCACGCAGGTACCAAGTACTTTCTTCAGTTTGAACACTTATACTTCATTATGCTTTCAAAACAGTGATATTGCCAAGGAACCAGTGAAAATGGTTAGAACTAGAAGCATAGGATGCCAAGGACCTCTATTCACTCTCTTGCCCTTTAAGTCTTAGTTATGAACAGAAAGAGCGAGGAAGATCCTTGATTTTTTTTTTCTCTGCTGAAGGATATGAAGAACCTAAAATAGAAATAGTTTGAGTATTTTATTCTTATATTAAAATAAATAGAAAACAAAATTCAAAGTACTGATGAAAGGCCTGGGTCTCATGATTGTGATGCACTTGTGTCAGGGATAGAACTCACAGAGAGCAGCAAGTCAATATCTATGTTCTCTGTAGATATTTGTTGAACATCAGAGTTGGTTGATTGTGCAAAAAAGAAGAAAATAATCTGGATGAAACACTGAGACCATGTTATCAAATGTTATCAAAGAATGTTTCTAATGGTTGGAAAAAAGTCTTTATTCTCTACAAAAACTCTACCCAATGTCACATAAATTTATTCAACTGCCACATATTAAAGATATTTTATAGGAATACATTATATAATAAAACCATGGGTTTTCAATATAGTAAGGATCAGAAACTAAACTATAAGCAGGAATCTAAAGAAATTATTATAAAGTCTTCTCTATGGTGCTTTGGGAGACAGTTCTGCTGCCACTTTCCTTTGCTACTGGCTCAACAGAAAGTGAGGCCATTGGTCATATTCACTGCAATTACATTTTCCCTTAACTGTAGAAGTTACAGGGGCTTCCAATTCCTAGGCCAGCAATGTTCCATCATTTTATATTAAAACCCAGGGGGAGATTATCGAACCAGATAAGCGACAAAGTATGAAGACTGACAGACTATGAAGAGGGCGGTGTTGCAATCAAATAATTTAACTTGACATATTTAATAATGTGAATAATCTTTTATGTTTAGCTGTTATGATACAAACATATTATGTAGATGACTTTAAGGAATATTTTTTACAAGTTAAGCTAAGTAAGTTGCCTCCCATTTTTTCTTCTGATTTATTAAAAAAAAGAAAGATTGTCTAATATCACTTCAATAACTGGGAGTTTTAGATCCCTCTGCTATATGCTCCAAGAAGTAAGCTGTTTTTTTCCTGCACCTCCTTCAAAGAATAGTTTGTGGTTTTACAGCTGCTTGGTGGAGGACACATTAGTACCAGATTTATTTCTGAGAAACGCAAGTAGTTGATTTGGATAATTCTAGAAGATTCATCATAAACCATCAATCCCCCAATACTGAAAAATATGCCTGTAAAAATATTTGCTTTGGTTTGATAAATAAATTATGTTTGTTCATTTCCAATCAAGTTACTCATTCCTGCTGGCCAGGTCCTATGCTCACCAGGGTGGTTCGAGGGTAAGTAGGAGGCTTAAAAATGTGTTCTGTTTATTTTTGTTTTTTTGGTACCAGGGATCGAAATGGGGTCCTTGCACTTGCAAAGCAGGCGCTGGAACCACTGAGCTAAATCCCGGGCCCTAAAAATGTATTCTGAATTCTGAGGCACACTTGTAATTCATTTGCTCATAGGAGCAGTAAAAAAAAAAAAGTTCCAAGACTAGACTCCCAAAGCTCATTTAAGTCATTATATAGGAGAAAGTATCTTATCTTTCTGCACAGTGTAAGCATGGTCTACAAAATATGAGCATAGTGTAGGGAAGGAAACATTGGTTTACAAATCAGGAAGCTTGATTGATGTTTTGGATTGAATTCACATAATTTGACTACATAGGTCTGTGTTTCATCATCTGTGAAGCAGAGAGTTTTATATTTGGTAATAGTCCAATGGGGGAATCTTGAGCTATATCCTAGCCTAGGAATCTTTTTTTAAAAATCATGTATAGCTGTTTTTCTTTGCCTTTTATCATTATTATAATAGATTAGTTTAAAAACTGGGAGAGAGTGAAATATGAACCACCTAAATTAATGGCCTTAATTGTTCTTCAGTCCCAGAAGCAAATGTTTTTAGTGATTGCTTCCTAAATCTCAAAGCAATCACAGAGTTTTTTTGGTATCTAGAACATTTCAACTAGAAAGTGGCAAACAGTAGCTGGGTGTGATGGGGTATGTCTGTAGTCCCAGATACTTTGGAATGTGAAACAGGAGGATTGCTGAGTCCACAAGTTCAAGACCAGCCTGGGCAACAACATAATAAGACCCCACCTGGGGGGCGGAGGGAGGAGTAGCAGATAGCAATAGCTTTTCACCATTTTCCTAAAGTAAATAACTGGAAAGACAAAATAAAAAATAGAATTCTAAAGAAAAGGTATCTGGGGCCAGGGATTTAGCTCAGTGGTTCCACCGCCTGCTTTACGAGTGCAAGGTCCTGAGTTTAATTCCTGGTAAAAAAAAAAAAAAAAAAAAAAAAAAAAAAAAAAAAAAAAAAGGAGATGG